CTCTAGCAGGATCAGGGAAACAGCATGGGGCACAAGCAAAGTTAGTTCAGTGTATCCCACAAGGTCACGTGATGCTAGGGCCGCTTTCTCAGCGGCAGCCACAGCCCGCAGGCAGCGAGGCAACCCTGCTGCCACGGGATCGAGTTTTGCTGAGAAGTAAGCAGTGGGTCTCAGTGGCCCTCCGTGAGACTGCAAAAGTACCGACACCATGCACCCACATCGCTCATCCACAGTCTGAGTGAATGGCCAGGTTGGGTCAGGGAGACCTAGTGTGTGTGTGTAGATTTGCTGTTCCGTTCATCTCCAGTTGCTTTTCTCCCGGATCGTCCTCAATTCATATTGTGGGCTTTTGTGCCAAAGTGGAGGCTCATTTCCTCCTGATCCATACTACTGTCATCCCTGGAGCAGGGGTAGTTTATCTCTCATCTGAAAAAGAAATATCAGAACACAAAAAAAAACACAAAAAAATGCCCACTTTCGCTTGTCAATCTTTTTTCCAATTGGGCAAAACATAACTGCATTGACAGACGGTGTGTGGCATCAGGGCGGAGGCTGTAGCCAAATACAGAACAACAAAATGTATGTTTCTAATTTTATACTCCCCTAAATGTGAGTTTACAAACCAAAGTTGTCCTTCAACCAACGACAGCTCACTGCGGTTGGACCGACTCACTGTCAGGACAAACAGCAGAGGGAGGGACTCCCAATGTCTTCAGCAAGGCATTTCATCTCAGAGTACTTTCCGCAGAGTACTCTTCTCAGAGTACTCATCCCAGAGTACTCTCACTTTTACACCTGTTCAATAAAGCTTGTTATCTTTGAATCTCTAGTACTTACACCGTATGCTGTTGACAAAAAATAATTATTCCATGATCACATTAAAACATTACAGACACATTTGTTATTCCATTCTCCGTTCAGCATTCCTCATTTCACACCACACTCACATCACACTCACATCACAGTCGCATCACAGGCCGATTCCCCACGTTAGTATTGGTCCAGAGTTTGTTAAGGTCAACGTAGTGTACTTTGACATGACACACAAACATATAACATACACAAACACATAACACACACCAACATATAACACACACAAACATATAACAACACAGAAGGCCTGTAATTTTAACTTTGTTATATTTTTCCATGTCCAATTACAATTGTCTCATGAGCTATTTCTATTGTTGCAACTTTCAGAGCCTGTAGAGCTTTAAAAGAGTTTTCCTAAAAGGATCCATTTCCAACTTTAGTGTTTACCACGTGGTCTGTATTTCGGGCTTATCACAGATTGTGTCCCCTATATCTCTAATGAGCTCTTGTCACCTTAAAAATGTTTATTTTCCTTATTTTTTCTTTTTCAATAAAGCCAGGTCGGATTCATTAAAAATGTAAATTAGTCTCAAACTTTAATACTTCACCTTTGTTTCACGATAAAAATGTTTTTGTTGCTCATTAAGTCGCACAGATACCATAGCGTGGTGCCTATCCCAATAAACATACTCCGTTTGTAGCCTATCTTTACTACACTGAAGCCATGAATTTTCAAACTCTAAGTTATTGTCTGGGAACGACCGGAGAGAGCAGCTTAGGTCGTTCGCGTGGTTGACCTCCAAATTTTGTGCGGGCGTAACTCTATTCACTGTTGTGGCTAATAACTTAGCAATCTCAGGGTTTGGTGTCAATTTCCAGTGGTAGTTAACTTTTGGGACCGGTGCCTCCTCATGCATGCCGGTGAAACATGGAGCATTTGCTAGCTCACTAGCGTGTACCACCCGTAGGCCGCTTGGTGTTGAGAGCAGATTTAAATTGAGTCTGCACATAAGGTCTCGGCCTAGTAGATTAACCGGGCACAATGGGGAATATAGAAAAGAATGTTTAAGCTGGTTGCCCTGAGAATCAAAACACGTTAGCGGTGACGTAAATTGCTCTTTAGTCGTCTCTCCCGACGCTGCTAATGAGAATGTGAAGCGGCCACTCATTTTAGGGGAGACAGAAAGGCTGTCACTTTTTAGCACAGAATTTGTTGCCCCGGAGTCATCCAGAATTTTAAGTTTTACACCACAGATTGTTAGCGTATGTTACGGGAATTCAGCATGAATTATCTCTAAAAAGTGCCAATTGCAATTTGTTCTTGTTCAAACTTACATGAGCGGTCGCTTTGGTGACGAATGTGAACCCGGGTTTGGTCAGTCGCTCGTGTTTCCTCCACGCCCGCCTCTGCCGTCCTCTGGCCCCGTGTGAGCCTCTGCCTTTAACGCCTCCTCCGGTGACAGTCCTTCGACCCATGTCGAGCACACAGTCTTTCCGCCGGGCTGTGGAAGTTTCTCAAAGTCCGCAGGAGGCCCAGGTAGCCCAAAGCGTTAGCCTGTGGTCCATGAGGGTTGGTGAATAACCAAACGTGCCGGTACTTTTGGCTTCTTCTGTTTGCGGTGCGGGGGCAACTTTCAACGAGGTTTCAGCGGGTGCGTTTTGTGTTTCACGCTACCCCCTCCGTGGGGAACAGACACGGGATTTGGAGCAGTTTGTCTCTGGCCTCCAAGGCAGTTGTCGGTGTCTCACATATCTGCTTCCCCCGCTTCTTCTTCTGCGGTTTCCTGAGCGTGTATCTGCTTCCGCCACGTCTTCTTCTGCTCCCGGGTTTGGGCCCACTTCTCGCGGGGTCTCAGCTGGTGCGGGCGCCGCCTGTGGTTGGGGCGTGGGGCTGGTGCTTTGAGGCAGAGGACAGAGCGCGGAGGAAAAGCGCCGACAGACCTGGACAGGGAGAGGAAAAAGGGACAACAGTAGTCTGCTCATTTTTTTTTTTTTTAAAACCCAACGCCTTGTTTGGGTGCACACTTATTGTTAGTAGGGGAAAAAGGGTGGGGGTGTGGGGGTGTGTGGGATGTGTGTGTGTGTGTCCGCCTGTGTGTTCTCCGCTTCGGTGAAAAGCGGAGGAGCTATTGTTTTTACATATTTCTTTTTCTAACGTCTTTTGCCGTGATATTCTTAAAACCAAGTAATATTTTTTTTTCCTTTCTTCTTCTAAATTATCACGCAAGATGCGTAATTGATTCAGAGACATAGAGCCTCCATAGCTTTAGGTCCGAACCGTTTTTCCATTGTCATTGTAACGGGGGACGTCAACATTCCCCTCGGTGTGGCATTTCTAGATTGATTTTCCCATTTTCTCGTACAGAACAATGGACCTAACCCGCTTAGTCTCTCCCTGCTCTTACCCACTTTTGGGCGCTCCGTTCCCCCCCCGCTGGTTCAACCAACGAGCGCGCGTTCTTGAAACGGAGCGGTTCTGGCTGAAGACACTTAGAGATTCCAGGGTCGCTTACAGAGCGATACTAACGCGCAGCCGCTAGCTTCAATCTAGAACAAAATACCCCAAAAAATCCCGCACACAGTCTATGCTGTGGCAATGAATGAAATACCCCAAAAATACGTAAATAAACAAATCCCCGTGTACACTTAAGTGCTCGTTACGCAGATGAAAAGACAAAACTCACCAAATTAGGTTCTTTTTGGTCTTGTGTGGCAAAAGATTCCTTCCATGCGCGGGCGAGCGCGCCCTCCTTTGTCTCCAAATAGAGCAGAGGCTGGTGTTGTTTCCAGGTCGGCCAAACGCGGCCGCTCGTCCCCGCCGAAAGTATCCATGCCAAGACATGTCAGCAACGCCAAATTGTTATAGAATTACATACCCCAAAGCAAGGAGAAAGCTCAAAAGTCTTTGTCTTAAATCAGGAGCGTAAGTTTATTGTAACACACGTGCGGAGAGCTAGCATATCCAAAAGGCAGCATACCCAGCTCTGGCTCGCAGAGCTCAGGCTTCCTGTTTACATAGAAAGACCGTCACGCCCACAACAGATGGGAGGGGGCCACCGGTGAAGGAGGCGCATAGGGAGCGCAGGCGCCATGTCCTGTGGTGAGGCAATCAGACACAGGGCATGGAGGTGCGAACAGACAGACAATGGTAGAAATGCAAGCATACAGATGCGAGATGCGAAAGACACAAGGGTGTGACAGACAGCAGGGACCTTCACAAAGCTCAGCATGGCGTCAGAAGGTCGTCTCTGCATTGAAAAGGCCTTTTACGTCCGTGTATTTGCTGCGGCTGGTTTTAATGTGATTACTCTAAAAACTGTCACTTCCCGTTCCTCCCATCCTGGATTTGGGCTAGCACTGCACCGAGCCCATCAAAACTTTGCATCGGTAGACAACCTAAATGGCTGAAGTAAAGTCTCGTATCCAAAATGGGATCGTCCCAGCAGGGAAAGTTAAGGAATGAAAGCTTCTGGCATTCCTTAGTCCACACCACCTGTGTGATTTCCTCTCTAATGCAGTGTTACGGGTCAGAGGCATGGAGAGGCCCAGCAATCTTTGAAAGCCCGGTATAAACCTGCGGTAAGTATCCTGCAAAGCCCAGAAATGAATTTACTTGCCTACAGTTTGTGGTATGCCAGACCCTCGAACAGAGTCAGTCCTTGCTGGGTCAGTACCACCCGTTTCTCACTGATATCGTGGCCCAAATAGGTTACGTGTCGTCTGAAACAGGTGGCACTTCTGGGTGTAAGATTGAGGCCATGTTGGTTCAACCTTTGGAAAACGTCCTCCAGGTGCTGCATGTGGCTCTGAAAAATCTGGGGAAAACACCACGACCACATCAAGGTAGATTAGGAGAAAAGTCATTACAAGGTTTACCCAGGCACCGCTGCATGAGCCCTGAAAGGTGGCAGGGGCATTGCATAGTCAAACGGCATCCCTCGAAACTCGTACAGTCCAAACGGGTGTGAATGCCGGCTTCTCCTGAATCAGCAGCATCCACCTCCACCTGCCAGTTATCCACTTGCCAAATCCATGTAGAGTACCACCTGGCTGCTTTTAGCCCAGTGAGGCGTCTCTTCAATGCGAGCAGGGTATATGCGATCTTGTGGGAGGGCGTTGAGCCTCCTATAGTCGATGCAGAACTCCAGCTGTCATCCTTTTTGCGCACAATACAATTGGGGCTGCCCATGGGCTGGAGCACTCTTTTACCACTCCGCTGTCCCAACATATTTCTTAAGGATGGTCTGAAGTTCCTTTACAGGCTAGTGGAACTGGCGGTACCGTTCACGGCTTGGGGGCAGCATAACAGGTGGGGATTTGATGTTTTAACACCCCCTCCGTCCAAATCCTCCTCATGAGAGAATACATGTCTCCCTTGCATTTAGCAATTTGTGTCATTTGTCCTTGCAGTTCAGCGTACAGGCCCTTCACCCTGAAGTGCATGACTGGTGGGGGGCCTCATCCTTGTGTGACCGCCGTTCCCAACATGCCTCACAGCTACTCCACTACGTCAGGGGCCACCGTTAAGCACCAGCTCATTCTGTCCCTGTACGTCCAGCGCCATCTATTTCAGTGACTCTGGCAAGGGGCCGCCGCTGGGGTACTTCCACCGGGTATGGATTAGGGTTACAGACCCGGCACGGAACGCTTCCCCCAGTCCACTGTCGCTAAGGTCCCTTCCAACTTGCGCACTCCACACTCGCCGTCCAATAAGGGTTCTAGAAGAACATCACAAGACAATTAAGGGGGGCGTTTGTTACCTGCATCCACAACACGATTTCAGATTGTGGTGGAATGACGACTGGGACTGTGTGGCAGCTTAGCGACTCCTTCGTACGTGGGCTCGGCATCTTGGCGTGACCCGCTGGCAGTCAACAAAGGCTCTGGACCAGACACTCCCTTCCGTTGTGGCATGGTGGTCTGGAATGTCCAGGAGACCCGGGTGGCTGCCCAGTGTGAGAGTGGACCAGCTGACCTGATTATGTTCAAGCCCTATATCCCCTTATTTGGGCCCTAGACAATAACCTTCACAATTACTATGCCTTTCCTGGTACCACCATACTACCCTATCACACAGTCCACAATGGCAATAGCCATGGAATAGGGATTTCCTAACCCGTTTGCCGGCTGAGAGTCAGCAATGGCACCGTGGTCTGCACTACTCACACCTGTTGCCTTTAAGGTATTTTTCGAACATTGTCTGGCTGACCAAGGTGACTCTGGGATCCCGTGTCTAGAACAAAAGGGGGATTGTCTGGGTTATTAATCTTAATCAAAACAGCAGGGCACTCACCAATTAGGGCAGACTTTGAGGCCGTTGAGCACATGGCTTTCAGGTTCTGCCCCAACTGAACTGCCCCAACGGGCTTGGCCCTCAGCAGCAGGGAGAGTCAAAATCCAGAGACCTCTGAAGCCTCTGGGGACACCACCGGTGGAGTGTGGTCCAGCCCCCCCACAGTTCAAACAAATGGGCTACCCCTGGGTCCCACTAAAGGGTGGCCTACAGACCGGCTTTTGGGGTCTTGCTCTTTGCCCATTGGAGTCCCAGGCAGACTGTTGGTGGTTGGAAATTGTGCCTTAATTTCTAGAAAATAAGGCCAGAAGAGAGAGTTATTGTTCTTCCATCTCGATTTTAATGTCCTTAAAAAGTTCTTCCTTCAGCTCGCTTTATCTGAGTCTTTAAATGTTCAAGGTCAAAATTAACTCTGTGTTGTGGAGCGCAGTTTACCTCATTTGACTGTTATAGCTATCCTTCATCGTACTCAGATGCCAAGTGCCCGAACCTCTTTACAAGCATTTTTAAAAGTCATATGTCCCTCTCGGCGCATTTGCCTGATCAGTTCTTGTTTAATGGGGGCCCGTTTTTTGAAACCTACCATTAATTGGTCCAAGCAGCAAATGTCCTCGTCTGCAGCCTCCCGCCCCATCCTGTTCTTTGCCATTTCTTAAACTGCTCACGGAGGCGTAAGATGTAAGCGTTCTACACCTTTCATCATTTCTTGTTTACAGTTAAAAAAATGGCTTCGCAATTGAGCTTTGCTTACTGGTTTTTGCATAAAGCGAATTGTAATAGATCAAATACCTTTTTGGCTGGAAATTCTTCTCTCTGACTGATGAGAAGCAGCTCTTCTCTGGCATCTCCTTCAAGGGCTGACAGAATGAAAATCCTGCTCTTGTTGTATGCCCATCCTTGGTGCTCTCAGCATACTTCTATTTGAGCTTTCCATGGATAAATTTGTATGGTCTCGCTCTCAAACTTTGGGATAAAGGCGCCCCCATAAACCTTGGCATCGTAAATTGGGCTGTAATGGCCGGGCCCGTACCTTGCTGGCCTAATTCATTCTCAACAGTTTTTTTTTTGGTTGTCCGCCAAGCAAACGCCAAATTGTGTCAGGTGTGGAACAACCAGTAACTGTTTAAAAATGAATATAAACAGGCTTAGATTTCAGATACTTTTATTAATAAATATGATTATAAAATGCCCTATGGCGCTAATTAAAATGGCCAATTAAGAGTTTAAAATAAGACTAAGGGTCTTAAGGTCTGGTCAAAATAAAAGGTTAAGGGGCCGCTCTCTGCTGGGGCCGCTCTCTGCTGGGGCCGCTCTCTGCTGGGGCCGCTCTCTGCTGGGGCCGCTCTCTGCTGGGCCGCTCTGGCTGGGGCGCTCTGCTGCCGCTCTGCTGGGCCTTGGGCTGGGCCGCGCTCTGCTCCGCTCTGCTGGGCCTCGGGCTGGGCCTCGGGCTGGGCCTGGCGCGCGCTGCTCCGCTCTGCTGGGGCTTGGGCTGGGCCTGGCACACTGCTCCGCTCTGCTGGGCCGCTCTCTGCTGGGCCTCGGGCTGGGCTTGGCGCGCGCTGCTCCGCTCTGCTGGGCCTCGGGCTGGGCCTCGGGCTGGGCCTCGGGCTGGGCCTCGGGCTGGGCCTCGGGCTGGGCTTGGCGCGCGCTGCTCCGCTCTGCTGGGCCTCGGGCTGGGCCTCGGGCTGGGCCTCGGGCTGGGCCTCGGGCTGGGCTTGGCGCGCGCTGCTCCGCTCTGCTGGGGCTCGGCCTGGGCCTGGCGCACTGCTCCGCTCTGCTGGGGCCGCTCTCTGCTGGGCCGGGTCTGCTGCTCCACTGGGGCTTGGTGCGCCACACCAGGGTAGCTGCTGAGAGAGCAAGCAATCAGGCGCCGGTCTCACGCGCACGCACACACACACAGAGTCTGGGGCAGCTTGTTCACGTCCCTGTAAGTACTCAGCTCGTCTGGCGTTATATACAGTGCTCCACTGAGCTGGATCCGCTGGGCCGGGTCCGCTGCTCCGGGTCCGCTGCTCCTTGGGCTGGGGCCTGATGCGCCACGCCAATGCAGCTGCGGAGAGAGTGGGCAATCACGCTCCGGTCTCACGCGCACGCACACACACACAAACTGAGGCTGCTTGATCACGTCCCTGTATACTCAGCTTTATGGGGCGTTGTATGTGGGCTCTGCAGGTCTCTCCTTGGGGCGTGCTGCTCCTCGTGTGTGCTGCTCCGCGTGCGTGCCGGTCCTGGTCGGTCCTGGTGCGTGCCGGTCCTGGTGCGTGCCGGTCCTGGTGCGTGCCGGTCCTGGTGCGTGCCGGTCCTGGTGCGTGCCGGTCCTGGTGCGTGCCGGTCCTGATGCGTGCCGGTCCTGGTGCGTGCCGGTCCTGGTGCGTGCTGGTCCTTGTTTCCCCTTGTCCTCTGTCCTCGCCCCCCGTAACGCTTCCGATTTCCTTCCTCCTCTCAGTCCCTCTGTCCTGGTTTTAAAAAGGGGAAAGTCCTCCAGTCCGACCAATCAATCATGAGGGGGAGGGCTATCAATCAGGACTGTCCCAGGCTCAAGCCAAAGTCAGTATATAGAACTACTAAAAACAAGGTCACACTAAAAACACTACACTCAAATAACACTGGCTTTAGATTTGGAGTCCCAGGCTAAAATCTATGTTTGACATTTACCCCCCACCTCTATAGTTGGTCGTCCCGGCCAATTACCTTTGATACCGAACAGGGGGCCTGCCAATATTTGGCCGGTGGGAACGTCTCACAGGGGGAACTGGGTCATTTCTTGGGTCAGGTGGGCTTACTGGCTGGGGTGCTTCGTTGCGGGGGAGCTCTGGTTGCGCCAGCCTTGGGAGCCAAAGTGTGGGGGGGGGCAACTCATCAGCTTGGTGTCCAATTGATAGTTGTGGTGCTGCCGGTCGCTGCCTTTCGTGCACAAAGTCAATTGGGCAAAGACGAAGATTATTCCGGTGAACCGTACGGCTAGGTGCTTCTCTCCCTTCTGGTCGAACCATGTAGGTCGGGTGGTCTTCCTGGAGTCTCCTCTCCACCACAAATGGCTCCGGGCCCCATTTTGGTGTTAGCTTTCCCCTCGACCCCTTGCGGAAGACACGGATTAGGACACGCTCACCTGGTAGTAGTGCTCCAAGTCTGGCTTTAAGATTATACCGGCCCTCATCTTGCTCCCTCCTGCGTCTGGACTGTGTCTTTGCTGTCTGGTACGCAAGATTTAGGGCCTCATGGTGTCGTTTTACCCATCCGTCTAGAGTGTGCTTCTCTCCGGTGGTTCCCAAGCCAGTCATCCAGTCTACAGGGAGCCTCGCGTGTCGTCCAAATACCAGGTAGTGTGGCGTAATCCCTGTAGTACTGTGCACTGTATTGTTATAGGCTTGCACCAGTGTGGGGAGGCTAGTGGGCCATTGGGTCTGCAGAGTTTCTGTCAGGGAGCTCAAGAGTCGTATTAGTGTTTGATTGAATCTTTCGCAAGCCCCGTTACCTTGCGGATGATATGCTGTAGTGCGGCTCTTCTTACACCCGTAGAGTTGGCAGAGCTGGGCCATGAGTGCAGATTCGAAGGCAGCCCCACGATCGGACAATATACGTTCCGGACAGCCGAACGTGTGGATCAGGTGAGTGTAAAGGGCTTTCACTGTAGTCTCAGCTGACTGGTCCTTTGTGGGCACTGCAACAGCATACTTTGAAAATAGATCAGTCATCACAAGTATATATTGGTAGCGATCGTCTGGGCGCCCAAGGGACAAATAGTCTATGCCTACAACCTCAAAAGGATATGAGGTGCTAACTGGGTGCAGTGGGGCCCTTCCGGAGGGGCCAGCTCTATTGCAGACACACTGGTGACATGATTTTGTCCAGCCCTTAATGTCCCGGGCCATTCCTGGCCAGTAACAACGCTGTCTTACAATAGCTAAAGTCCGTTCGCAACTTGGGTGTCCCATCCCCTCGTGATAGTTTTTCCACACATCTTGAGCTTTCCGTTTTGGGACCAGAACTTGGGACAACATGAGTTCGGAGCCTCCCTCTTCCCACTCTCGCACCAGCACACCCCCTTTCACTTTAATCCTATCCCAGTCCCTTATCAGCCCATGTAAGTAGGGGGAAAAGTGTCCACGTACCTCAGGCTTAAGGGGTCCGAGTGTTTTCCACTGCAGAAGCTGGGCAAGATCTGAATCTTCGCTCTGGTACTCCTCCCAGGTTCCCTCATTGGAGACCACAGCACCCACAGCTTGTACAAGTGCTTCCTCTGGCCTCTTTTCATGGAGCCTGGAAAGTGCATCAGCATTTTTATTCTCTGTGCCTGGGCGGTATTTGATTGTATACCTGAAGTTGGCCAACTGGGCCACCCATCTCTGTTCAGTGGCCCCTAGGCGCGCAGTCTCGAGATGCACCAGGGGGTTATTGTCAGTGAAGATTGTGAACTCTGACCCGTACAGATAATCCTTGAACTTTTCAGTTACCGCCCACTTCAAGGCCAGCAGTTCCAATTTAAAAGAACTATAGTTTTGGTCATTTCGTTCAGAGGCTTGGAGACTTCTGCTGGCATAAGCAACTACCCTTTCCTTCCCATCCTGGATTTGGGCTAGCACTGCCCCGAGCCCATCAAAACTTGCATCGGTATACAACCTAAATGGCTGAGTAAAGTCTGCGTATGCCAAAATGGGAGCGTCCAGCAGGGCAAGTTTAAGGGAATCGAAAGCTTCTTGGCATTCATTAGTCCACACCACCTGTGTGGATTTCCTCTCTAATGCAGTGTTACGGGTCAGGGCATGGAGAGGCCTAGCAATCTTTGAAAAGCCCGGGATAAACCTGCGGTAGTATCCTGCAAAGCCCAGAAATGACTTTACTTGCCTTACTGTTTGTGGTATGGGCCAGTCTCGAACAGCGTCAGTCTTGGTTGGGTCAGTAGCCACCCCGTTCTCACTGATAACGTGGCCCAAATAGGTTACGTGTCGTCTGAACAGGTGGCACTTCTTGGGTTGTAGTTTGAGGCCATGTTGGTTCAACCTTTGGAAAACGTCCTCCAGGTGCTGCATGTGGCTCTGAAAATCTGGGGAAAACACCACGACATCATCAAGGTAGATTAGGAGAAAGTCATTAACAAGGTTACCCAGGCACCGCTGCATGAGCCGCTGAAAGGTGGCAGGGGCATTGCATAGTCCAAACGGCATCCGCTCGAACTCGTACAGTCCAAACGGGGTCGTGAATGCAGTCTTCTCCTGATCTGCAGCATCGACCTCCACCTGCCAGTATCCACTTGCCAAATCCAGTGTAGAGTACCACCTGGCTGCTTTTAGCCCGGTGAGCGACTCTTCAATGCGAGGCAGGGGATATGCGTCTTTGTGGGTGAGGGCGTTGAGCCTCCTATAGTCGACGCAGAACCTCCAGCTGTCATCCTTTTTGCGCACCAATACAATTGGGGCTGCCCATGGGCTGGAGCTCTCTTTTACCACTCCGCTGTCCAGCATATTCTTAAGGAGGGTCTGAAGTTCCTTGTACAGGCTAGGTGGAACTGGGCGGTACCGTTCACGGCTGGGGGCAGCAGAACCGGTGGGGATTTGATGTTTTATCACCCCCGTCCGTCCAAAATCCTCCTCATGAGAGGAGAATACATGTCTCCATGCATTTAGCATTTGTGTCATTTCGTCTTGCTGTTCAGGCGTAAGGCCTTCACCCTGAAGTGTCAGGACTGGGTGGGGGGCCTCATCTTGTGTGACCGCCGTTCCCACATGCCTCACAGCTACTTCCACTACGTCAGGGGCCACCGGGTTAAGCACCAGCTCATTCTGTCCCTGTACGTCAGCGCCATCTATTTCAGTGACTCTGGCAAGGGGCCGCCGCTGGGGTACTTCCACCGGGTATGGATTAGGGTTACAGACCCGGCACGGAACGCTTCCCCCAGTCACGGTCGCTAAGGTCCTTCCAACTTGCCACTCACACTCGCCGTCCGATACGGGTTCTAGAAGAACATCACAAGACGAATTAGGGGGGCTGTTTGTTACCTGCATCCACAACACGATTTCAGATTGTGGTGGAATGACGACTGGGGACTGGTGTGGCAGCTTAGCGACTCCTTCGTATCGTGGGGCTCGGCATCTGGCTGTGACCCGCTGGCAGTCAACAAAGGCTCTGGACCAGACTCTCCCCTCCGTTGTTGGCATGGTGGTTTGGAATGCCAGGAGACCCGGGTGGCTGCCCTGTGTGAGAGTGGACCAGACTGACCTGATTATGTTCATTCCCAATATCCCCTTATTTGGGCCTAGACAATAATCCTTCACAATTACTATGCCTTTCCCTGGTACCACCATACTTCCTATCACACAGTCCACAATGGCATAGCCAATGTATGGGATTTCTAACCCGTTTGCGGCCTGGAGAGTCAGCCATGGCACAGTGTTTGCACTACTCACACCTGTGCCTTTAAGGTATTTTTCGAACATTGTCTGGCTGACCAAGGTGACCTGGGATCCCGTGTCTAGAACAAAAGGGATAGTCTGGTTATTAATCTTAATCAAAACATCAGGGCACTCACCAATTAGGGCAGACTTTGAGGCCGGTGGAGCACTGGCTTCAGGTTCTGCCCCCAACTGAACTGCCCCCACTGCTTGGCCCTCAGCAGCAGGGAGAGTCAAAAATCCTGAGACCTCTGAAGCCTCTGGGGACACCACCGCTGAGTGTGTCCAGCCCCCCCACAGTTCACACAAATGGGCCTACCCTCTGGGTCCCACTTAAAGGGTGTGCCTACAGACCGGCTTTGGGGTCTTGCTCTTTGGCCAGTTGGAGTCCCAGCAGACTGTTGGTGGTTGGAAAATTGTGCCTTAATTTCTGATATAAGGCCAGAAGAGAGAGTTTTAAGTTGTTCTTCCATCTCGATTTTAATGTCCTTAAAAAGTTCTTCCTTCAGCTCAGCCTTTATCAGAGTCTTTAAATGTTCATGGTCAAAATTTACTCTTTGTTGTGGAGCGTAAGTTACCCTATTAGACTGTAAAGCATCTTCTTCATCGTACTCAGATGCCAGTGCCCTAACCTCTTTACAAGCATTTTTAAAAGTTATATGTCCCTCTCGGCGCATTTGCCTGCTCAGTTCTTGTTTAATGGGGCCCTTTTTTTAAACCTACCATTAATTGGTCAAGCAGCAAATCGTCCTCGTCTGCAGCCTCCGCCCCATCCTGTTCTTGCCATTTCTTAAACTGCTCACGGAGGCGTAAGATGTAAGCGTCTACACCTTCATCATTTCTTTGTTTACAGTTAAAAAAATGGCTTCGCAATTGAGCTTTGCTTACTGGTTTTGCATAAAGCGATTGTAATAGATCAAATACCTTTTGGCTGGAATTCTTCTCTCTGTGACTGATGAGAAGTAGCTCTCTCTTGGCATCTCCTTCAAGGGCTGACAGAATGAAATCTGCTGCTTGTTGTATGCCCAGTCCTTGTGCTCTCAGCATAGCTTCTATTTGAGCTTTCCATGGTTCGAATTTGTTGGTCTCGCCGTCAAACTTTGGGATAAAGGCGGCCCCCATAAACCATGGCATCGTAAATTGGGCTGTAATGGCCGGGCCCGTACCTTGCTGGCCTGAATTCATTCTCAAACAGTTTTTTTTTTTGGTTGTCCTGCCAAGCAACGCCAAATTGTGTCAGGTGTGGAACAACCAGTAACTGTTTAAAAATGAATATGCACAGGCTTAGATTTCAGATACTTTTATTAATAAATATGATTATAAAATGCCCTATGGCGCTAATTAAAATGGCCAATTAAGAGTTTAAAATAAGACTAAGGGTCTTAAGGTCTGGTCAAAATAAAAGGTTAAGGGGCCGCTCTCTGCTGGGGCCGCTCTCTGCTGGGGCCGCTCTCTGCTGGGGCCGCTCTCTGCTGGGGCCGCTCTGGGCTGGGCCTGGCGTGCGCTGCTCCGCTCTGCTGGGCCTCGGGCTGGGCCTGGCGCGCGCTGCTCCGCTCTGCTGGGCCTCGGGCTGGGCCTCGGGCTGGGCCTGGCGCGCGCTGCTCCGCTCTGCTGGGGCTTGGGCTGGGCCTGGCACACTGCTCCGCTCTGCTGGGGCCGCTCTCTGCTGGGCCTCGGGCTGGGCCTGGCGCGCGCTGCTCCGCTCTGCTGGGCCTCGGGCTGGGCCTCGGGCTGGGCCTCGGGCTGGGCCTCGGGCTGGGCCTGGCGCGCGCTGCTCCGCTCTGCTGGGGCTCGGGCTGGGCCTGGCGCACTGCTCCGCTCTGCTGGGGCCGCTCTCTGCTGGGCCGGGTCTGCTGCTCCACTGGGGCTTGGTGCGCCACACCAGGGTAGCTGCTGAGAGAGCAAGCAATCAGGCGCCGGTCTCACGCGCACGCACACACACACAGAGTCTGGGGCAGCTTGTTCACGTCCCTGTAAGTACTCAGCTCGTCTGGCGTTATATACAGTGCTCCACTGAGCTGGATCCGCTGGGCCGGGTCCGCTGCTCCGGGTCCGCTGCTCCTTGGGCTGGGGCCTGATGCGCCACGCCAATGCAGCTGCGGAGAGAGTGGGCAATCACGCTCCGGGCGCACGCACACACACAAACTGAGGCTGCTTGATCACGTCCCTGTATACTCAGCTTTACGGGGCGTTGTATGTGGGCTCTGCAGGTCTCTCCTTGGGGCGTGCTGCTCCTCGTGCGTGCTGCTGCGCGTGCGTGCCGGTCCTGGTCGGTCTCGGTGCGTGCCGGTCCCGGTGCGTGCCGGTCCCGGTGCGTGCCCGTCCTGGTGCGTGCTGGTCCTTGTTTCCCCTTGTCCTCTGTCCTCGTCCCCGTAACGCTTCCGATTTCCTTCCTCCTCTCAGTCCCTCTGTCCTGGTTTTAAAAAGGGGAAAGTCCTCCAGTCCGACCAATCAATCATGAGGGGGAGGGCTATCAATCAGGACTGTCCCAGGCTCAAGCCAAAGTCAGTATATAGAACTACTAAAAACAAGGTCACACTAAAAACACTACACTCAAATAACACTGGCTTTAGATTTGGAGTCCCAGGCTAAAATCTATGTTTGACACTACTGCTGCTACTGCTGCCGCTACTGCTGCTATTGCTGCCGCTGCTGCTTCATACTGCTACTGCTGCCGTGCTGCTGCTGCTTCTTTTACTTTGACACCTCTCTTCACTTCGCATCCTTCTACTGAAACACTAAACAGCTACAACAATATTCTACTGCTGTGGCTTTGATACAGGATTATTGCTGTTATTATCTACGGATGCTGCTGCTGCTTCATACTGCTACTGCTGCTACTGCTGCTGCTTCATACTGCTACTGCTGCTACTGCTTGCTGCTTCATACTGCTACTGCTGCTGCTGCTTCGTTTACTTTGCCATCTCTCTTCACTTGCATCTCTTTTACTGAAACACTGAACAGCTACAACAACATTCTACTGCTGTGGCTTTGATACAGGATTATTGCTGTTATTATCTACAGATGCTGCAGCTGCTGCTACCCACTCTCTCAGAAGCTTATCCTGCTTCTAATGGACGCAGCCCGGCTGAGTATGCCGCGCTGCGCTGGACTCGCACCTATGCTCCCAGGGTCGCTTCGGCAGTCATGCTTCATCTCTATACTTAATCTTCTGATTCTATCAGATGCAGCTGGCCGAGTTGCTGCGCTGAGCCGTCAATCGGACTCCTAATCAAACGCATCCATACCTGTATTCTTCACTCTTCTGATCGCAGGCTCCCCATCATGCTGCCCATCCTGCAGCGGCACTGAACTCCGGCTCATCTTCCAAGTACATGTCTGCCCTCCTCGCAGCATCTTCCTGCTCGCCTTCTATGGCTTCGCTGCATAAGCGTCTCACTACTGCTCACTCAACCTTCATGCGGTCCGAGACACGGCTTTCCCGACCATCCTACTATCTGATTATCTACTCTCCAACCCAAGATTCTAAGCGTAAGGGCGCCTGCAAACATCAATGGCCCTCTCCGACATGTCTCTGCCCCTACAGGTCTCCGCTTCTACACGGACGCTGCCCCTTCCGTGGGTTTTGGGGGTTCTTCCAGGACCATTGGTTTGCCTGGCCGTGGCCGCTACTTTCCACCGGAGCATCTCTTCTGCCCTACACGAAATATTCCCAGTGGTCGTGGCTGCGCGCTGTGGAATCACACGTGGCAGAGAAAGAGTTATGTGTGATAATCTCGATGTAGTGGAAGCATTACACAAAGGTCGCTCTTTTTCACCCAACATAATGTCCCCTGACCATTTCAACCTTCAATTCAAACATTCAAAAATCAAAGGAGCCTGCAATATAGTAACAGCTCGCTCGGACACATCTCTCTGCCCCTACAAATCCATGATGCGTTACACTCGCCTCCGCTGCAAAAAGGAGAGTTTAACGGACCTCTATTTCTCACTCCAGACATTCTTCCCATGACAGCAACCTGGTTCAGAGCTCAACTAAGATCCCTACTGCTCCTCTGTAAATTGTCTCCCCAGCTCTACACAGCCCACTCCTTCAGGATAGGCGCTGCCACGCGCGCGGCCTCGCTGGGGCTCCCCCACACCTCTCTGCAACAGCTGGGGCGCTGTTCCTCTTCGGCCTTCTCCGCCTACATCAGGCCAGACGCGTCCGCCATCCTGGCTGCACAACGTCTACTGGCTTCTTCGTAAGCTCCCAGCAAAGCAATACAAAGCAAAGTAAGTGATCCAATAAAGATTCTGGTGGCGGCACGCACTTTCTCAAAGATAACTCTGTTGCAGCGTCCGGTTGATCGTGATGCGAGCGCTCACGTCCCGGCGCTCAAAGACAACTCTGCTACAGCGTCTGGTATCGATCGTGATGCGAGCGCTCACGTCCCAGGCAGCGTCCGGTTGATCGTGATGCGAGCGCACACGTCCCGGCGCTTAAAGACAACTCTGCTGCAACGTCTGGTATCGATTGTGATGCAAGCGCTCACGTCCCAGGCAGCGTCCGGTTGATTGTGATGCGTGCGCTCACATCCCGGCGCTTAAAGTCAACTCTGTTTCAGCGTCTGGTATCGATCGTGATGCAAGCACTCACGTCCCAGGCAGCGTCCGGTTGATCGTGAAGCGAGCGCTCACGTCCCGGCACGCAAAGATAACTCTGCCCGTTTTTGGGGATTATGCGCGCGAGCAAGCGCCGCACTCATCAGCATCTCTCCCGGGCCTAGGGCGCCAAACATACTCAATCAATAAACTTCTAACTGCATTTTCCTCTTGGGTCTCTCCAAAGTGAAATGAAGCTCTTCGCGAAAGTTCACTGTGGTAGACCCGGCCGCTGCTACAAGCCTGCTCATCCTCTACTCATTACACCAGCAAAACGCCCACATCCAATCCACCAATAACCACCAGGACAGCAAGTTAAAAGCCGGAGACGCCCACTTCCCGGCCTTCTGAAGTCTGCAAAGCCTCCGCCGCCCCACCTCCTCCTTCTCTCATCGAAGCGTGCTCGCCTGCTGCCTCTGCCGTCACCAGTGCCTAGGCCCCGGGGAGATTATGCGCGCGAGCAAGCGCCGCACTCATCAGCATCTCTCTCGGGCCTAGGGCGCCAAACATACTCAATCAATAAACTTCTAACTGCATTTTCCTCTTGGGTCTCTCCAAAGTGAAATGGTGGCAGTATGTGAAAAAAGGAGAAATACAATCATTGTGGTTGGAATCTACACCAAAACAAAAAAAACATAGATTATGTATTAAAATAAAAGATTCTGGTTCAAGAATGTTCCAATGAGCCAGTGCTGCTCCTGCAGGGTTATGTGACTGAAGTTAAGCCTGGTTCACACGAGACGATTTTAAAATTGTCGACCGATAAAAAATCACAGGTCTAACCACTTTGGTCGTACAGTGTGTGGTGCGCAGCCACACGGCAGAATCACGCAAACTACACACGAACCGATTTCACCCCCGAGCATTCAAAGGTCACCGGAAATCTCACAACATCGCTCGAGATCAAGCGTGACTTGACCACAGCAGCCACAGACACCATGAGGACAAACACATACATGTGTATTTTACTGCTCTACAGTTCTCTGGCCCGTGCTGTCTGTGCTGTTCAATAATACAGTTTGTACGGACTACCTGTGAACGCATCACACACACTGCTAGACATGAAACTTTACATACGCGCAAACCAACAAGCACGGCTGCAGTAACGGCTGCATCAACACGTCTGTACTGTATAAGGACAGAGTGCAAAGTAAACGTACAAACACAACCCATCAGTCTGATCATTTAGTGTACTGATCCCGTCCGAATAGGGCTTATGCCAACACTACCTGTGCAGCAGGTCCTTGTCATTTCGGTGATGATATTCTTTACACGACACGTCATACATACATTCACGGTGTTGCCAGAGGTCAACTAGTGCCTCCATCTCTGATGTCCACCGAACTTTCTGGTGCGCCATGCCGGTGACTGTTTTTTTTTTTTTTTACGGTGTTTCCTTGCCGCCTCTTCTCGTCTTCTGATTGGCTACACGCCGCAGTCATGGCAACGCGCTCGTCTGTCCCCGGGGGACACCACACACGAAGAGAAATCGGGCCAAAACAATCCAACATGTTAGATATCCCCGATATTGAGATCGGAGCAGTCCCGAAGTCCTTCCGAGCGACGAGCACAGTCTTAATACACCACACACGGCAGGAAAATCCATCAGATTTTTTGTTACGATATTCGGAGCGTTCTTACGATTGTCGTAGGGGTAAATCGGGTCCAAAATCGGCCCAATTATCCTGCCGTGTGAACCAGGCTTTAGACACAAGTGAACTTTACCTCTGTTCAAAGGGAAGTTTCTACCATCACTTAGGAGAATGTTTTCACCACACAAAATATCATTAAAACAACAAGGCCAAGATAAACTGATGTATTTTAGTGTAAAAACTAAAGACTTGAAGAGCCAGTAAACCATATTCCATTTAATTCAATTTATTTGTATCGGCCTAAATATCAACACCAGTTATCTTTGAGGACTTTACAAAGCTGTTGATTCGCCAACACAGATCAGATAATCTAAATGTAAATGCAATGTTAACAAACAAATAGAGACGTTGGTTCATAAGAGATAGACACCAATGTCCATAAATGTGGTTGACGGTCCACTCCCTGTAGATCCAGGACTGAGGCTTTAGATCCAGGACTGAGACGGTAGATCCAGGACTGATGCTGTAAATCCAGGACTGATTCTGTAGATCCAGGACTGATTCTGTAGATCCAGGACTGAGGCTGTAGATCCAGGACTGATTCTGTAGATCCAGGACTGAGGCTGTAGATCCAGGACTGAGGCTGTAGATCCAGGACTGATTCTGTAGATCCAGGACTGATTCTGTAGATCCAGGACTGAGGCTGTAGATCCAGGACTGAGGCTGTAGATCCAGGACTGAGGCTGTAGATCCAGGACTGAGGCTGTAGATCCAGGACTGAGGCTGTAGATCCAGGACTGAGGCTGTAGATCCAGGAGTGAGGCTGTAGATCCATGACTGATGCTGTAAATCCAGGACTGATTCTGTAGATCCAGGACTGATTCTGTAGATCCAGGACTGAGGCTGTAGATCCAGGACTGAGGCTGTAGATCCAGGACTGAGGCTGTAGACCCAGGACTGAGGCTGTAGACCCAGGACTGAGGCTGTAGATCCAGGACTGAGGCTGTAGACCCAGGACTGAGGCTGTAGATCCAGGACTGAGGCTGTAGACCCAGGACTGAGGCTGTAGACCCAGGACTGAGGCTGGACACCATATGTTAGAACATTCCTCTCTATAGCAAAGGAAGGTTTCTCACCCATCATCTGTACTTCTTAGCAAGTTTTCCCGACGTTTCGTCCTCAACCTGGGGACTTCTTCAGGGAATGAATTCTCGGACCGCGCGTTGGAGATTTATAACCTATGGGTGTGGTAAGCCACACCCTAACCCTGATACTAACTCGTAAACAATCTCAGGTCTGCTTGATGTAGAAGGGAGCAGGTCTAACGACCCTGCTGAGGCTAACGACCCTAACTCCTTAGCATGTCACAGACCTATTGTCTGCTGGGATGCTCAAGTGGAGTGCAGGTTTCACCCCTCCTAACTCATTAGCATGTCACTGACCTTGTCCCAAGTTAGGGCGTTGTTTTTAGGATGTCGTCATAGATGCGAGGCAAAACAAATCTTAACCCTCCTCCTCTGTTAAGAGAAGGTTTCTGTTTCCTCACAAAAATAGCTTCTTTCACCCCTCTCTCAAACCAATTCTTCTCCCGAGCCAGAATTTTAACCTCTGTATCATCCACCGTGTGGTTGGAGGCATTGAGGTGGAGATGAACAGTCGACTGTGGCCCACTAGAGTTTTCTCTACGATGTTGGTAAAGTCGTTTCTGTAGAGTTTGTTTGGTTTCTCCAATATAGTGGTCAGTGCACTCCTCTTCACTACATTTAATTGAATACACCACATTGCTCTGTTTGTGTCTGGGTGTTTTGTCTTTGGGATGCACTAATTTCTGTCTTAACGTGTTGAAAGGTTTGAAATACACAGGGATTTTGTGTTGCCTAAAGATTCTTTGTAGTTTCTCTGAAACTCCCGCCACATACGGTAAGGACACGCCTCTCCTCCTACTTTCTTCTGTCTGTTGGACTGTGTCCAACAGACACAGTCCAAACGTGTCCGTCTCCAAACGTGTAATGTTTCCTCTGACCTTGATTTCATAAGTCAATTATCAAACACAAAGAACACAGATGTTTTAACTTGAATATGACCATGGACTAAAACTGAGACAAAACTTCAACATGTCATCATTCAAGAAGAATAGTGGCAATAAAAGTGCTTTGAGGGTGAAATTATGTTAGAATTAACTTTACTGTCATAACAAAGTAAGAACAATGCAGTTTAGCATCTATCAAGTACATTAGCACAAGTATAGGATAATATTAGCAAAATATATATAAGCATATGTGAGACTGTACAAATCTATTTTATACATTCAAGACATTACATTACATTAAAGGTTCCACATTACACTTTTCTTCAAGTTTCACAGTCAATCCTATGCACATGTGTGATAATAATTTGAGTGATACACCACTCAACACTCAAAACCTGATTATAGCCATCTCTTGTATAGAGGTGACATTACCTCGACTCAAACAGGCTGATTCAGAGAAGAGTCTGCTCCTCTGTCTGTGAGCCCACCTCCCCCCACCCACACGGTGACGTAGCATCATGCTCTGAGTTGTTTACCACCTGACCTGAGAATAAACTTTTTCCAACAATGACAATCCGAAACACCTAGCTCTATGTCCTCGAGAAGTATACGGCGAGTTAGCATCACTGTACTTACAGATCGGGGGGGTCCGTGTTACGTCTTTTATCGTGGGAATAACACTGCTTTCCCCAGACGCAGCGAGTGCGTCTGGGGAAGAATGTCTCGGACTCTCGGATTATAAATACAGGAGCCCCACAGGGCTGTGTTCTTTCTCCCCTGCTCTTCTCCCTGTACACCAACCACTGCACCTCCAGCCACGACTCCGTGAAGCTGATCAAGTTCGCGGACGACACCACCCTCATTGGACTCATCTCCAACAACGATGAGTCCGCCTACAGGAGGGAGGTGGACCGGCTGGTGTCCTGGTGCAGTGGTAACAACCTGGAGCTGAACGCCCAGAAGACAGTGGAGATGATTGTGGACTTCAGGAAGAGCACTGTCCCCCCGCCCCCACCCTCCGTGATGGACTCCCCCATCACCTCTGTGGAGTCCTTCCGTTTCCTGGGCACCACCATCACCCAGGACCTCAAGTGGGAGCCGACCATCAGCTCCCTCATCAAGAAGGCCCAGCAGAGGATGTACTTCCTGCGGCAGCTCAGGAAAGCCAAGCTGCCTGCACAGATGTTGGTGCAGTTCTACACGGCCATCATCGAGTCCATCCTCACCTCCTCCGTCACCGTGTGGTTCGCTGGAGCCACAGTCAGGGACAAACAGAGACTACAGCGCATTGTGCGCTCTGCAGAGGAAGTGATCGGCCGCAGCCTTCCATCGCTGCAGGACCTGTACGTCGCCCGAGCTCGAGGCCGGGCTGGTCGTATCACAGCCGACCCCTCTCACCCTGCACATGGACTATTCCAACCACTCCCCTCAGGCAGGAGGCTGCGGTCCATCAGGACTAGAACCTCCCGCCACAAGAACAGTTTCTTCCCCTCTGCTGTTGGACTCTTGAACACTTCTTAACCTGTCCCCCCGCCCTTTATAAAGTCACTTTACTGCCCATCATACGTCACTTTACTTCACTGTACTGCTGTCACCTTACATTGTGTGCACCATGTGCACTTGTATATTGTAAATAGTAACTGTAACTCTATTTTAAATTTAAATTTATTCTTTAGAAGTGTTTTTTATTCTTATTTTTATTATCTCTTTTTGACTGTTGCACTGAGCCAAAGCAATTTCCTAGTCTGTGACCTCCTGTTACTTACGTGGCAATAAAAATGATTCTGATTCTGATTCTGACAGATCAATTTTTGAGTAGGTCTAGTTTCATTATCCTTGCAGTTCTTGAACAGTCTCAGTGAAGTGTCGCAGATGAACAGATTCATTCAAACAAAGGCAAATCCACGTGAAAAAAGTCGAGCCGCATTCTTCCTCTTTGGGCCAAATTGTGCGTCACATATTTACACCCAAAACACATTTTATCCAAGTTGACGTGATCCTAACACTTTTAGTTGCTGACAAAAGCAGAAAAACAGTAGCTCCATGTGGTGTCCGCGGGACCAAACCTCAGACATACGCTTGACTGGCTGCACGCTCTGATTTGCTGTTTCGATCTGTCAATCACCTCCAGGCTTTTACTATTATATTTATTATTACAACAAACAACATACTTATTGTGTATTATTTACCCCGTTTTGACAAAAGTATTTAAAAACCATTTTCAATACAAAGCAAGCGGGCTGGTGCGCGTCATATTTGTCATCAGAGTGGTAATCGTCACTGAAGTGGACCCGAGCGTTTCTGTGCCTCTCGACGGGGAAGGAGAAAGATCACTCTAAAGCTTGACAAAATCAATGGAAAAACTACTCTGGGCATTTGTATGAAGGCCAAATAGCATTGGAATCATGTTTAAAGCAGAATCATGTTTTTTAGTTAAAGGAGGTTATAAGAGGATTTTCCCAAATTTTAGGAAAGAACCGCCCTCTCCACTTTTCAACAAAACTCACTATTTGATGAGCACGTGTCACCAGAATCATTGATAATAGTTTTGATGATCCACTCGGAAGTAGAAAATCCTCGTATAAACCTTTAAGTCAGAGTGCGTTGGACTATTTTCTTCTCTTTTTTTTCAACTTTATGTCACAGATGTACATTGGTGTGAGGCCATGGAGAGACTTGTTCATGAGCAGAACTGCCATTGAACTTCTCCTAAGTGTACGACGCTATAAGTTCCTGCTGAATCAACATGTTCAACAGACACCTGCTCAGAAACAGCAACAGCAGAGAATGCGCTGCGGAGGTTACATCATCAGTTTGCAGCGGCTCTGGTTCACATCACAGACTGCCTCACATCAGCCAGAATCACAGGTTTATTTCAAAACTCTACAACAGCATAGTTCAGAACAAACAGAATAACCGAAAGTTTAAAAAGGGGTTGGATGAAGCTTATGGAACTCAACCTCCCCCCCCCCCCCCCCCCCCCCCCTTCCTTTCACCCCTCACCCGAGTCGAGCAGAATTCAGGCACAATATAACACCCTATTGTATAATAAAAAATAAAAACCGCACATTTAGACAAGACACAGCCCCAAACACACCCCGACCCTACACATATCTCCCACTAATCTGTGCTGGACAGGTCTGATGTCTGAAGAAGAGCTGGAAAAACACATGGAGTGAAAGGGCCAAAGTTTGACCATTTGACACTAAGGAAAAGTATGTACAGCAGGAGAATTCAATTCAACTATATTTATTTTGGTATTGCCCTATATCACAACAGTAATGATCTCGGAGGACTTTAGCTGTCAATTTGCCCACACAGATCAGAGAATCAAACAGTTCAAACTCAGGAAATTCAATGATAAAAAAAACACATAGAGACATTAGTCCATAAGGGGTAGAGACCAATGTCCAGAAATGTGGTTGAACAACTCTAAAAACTCACTGGGAGGCTGTAGATCCAGGACTGAGGCTGGAGTTTGTACTTTTTTTTTAGCTTGTTTTATCTTCTTGTCTGGTGCACACTGCGGGGACTTTTGCACAGGTTGTCAATGTGTTTTTACTGGAGATGGCAAAAAAACTGAATATGAATCTGGATTTGAATCTGAAAGAGTCTCTGAAACTCATAAATAAACGCACATCATCAGATATAATTTCGGATGATGTGCCGACACAATCCAAAGCTCCAGACTTTAAGGAACCGCCACATTTAGGCTTCGTACTTTACAACGTGTGTCTGAGCAGAAGCAGCGCCTCTGTGATGGTTTTTCTACATGGGTAAGAACACATCCTGGGTCGGTGTTTTGTTAGGGTCCGTGTTCCGTGGGGAAGGTTCTAAAAGTAGACACACACACACATGTACGAGTGGTCACGCTCGGCTCAGTATTGACCAGGATGGTGGGATGGCAGCTGTTATTTATGTCTGCTTTCTTTAGCCAGGTTTCTCACAGAAACCGGAGCCTTGGAGGAATTCACCACTTCCTCTGAGCCTCCATTTATCACTCTTTATTAATACAAAAACATACAGCTACATGAAGCAACAGAAGGTTCTGTTTCATCAATTACAATCAACCAATTAGCCTTGGCTATAAATGTTGTAGTGTTTCACTTGACCATATCAAATAAATCAACACATAAATAAAGGTAGATTTTGTACTTGCTGCTTTGTCATGCTGAAGTTACAGATTGTATTTAATTTTAGTATTTTTTCACTTACCTTGTGCTGCGTGTTCCTCATTCTTACTGTTCTGTAACTGGTGATGCAACACTGACATTTCTCCACTGTGAATCTTATTACATATCTTTCCCCTGAAATACAATTGAGTTAGCAGCACGAAGCATACCAGTGAATACAAATTGAACAATTAATCTAAAATGTGTGTTAAATATATCTTATATGTAAAGCAAAGACCACGGGAGCACCGTAGGAGGACCATAGGAGGGCAATGGAAGGACCATAGGAGGACCATAGGAGAACCATAGGAGCACCATAGGAGGACCATAGGAGCACCATAGGAGGACCATAGGAGGGCAATGGAAGGACCATAGGAGGACCATAGGGGGACCATAGGAGGACCATAGGAGGGCAATGGAAGGACCAAAAGAGCAATATTGACAGAGCATGTTTTGGCCGTGGAATCCTCTATACACGCTCTGATGGCGTTTGATATTTGGAGTTGTAAGGTTATTGAAGTCAATATTAATAGGCCTTTAATTGATTCAGTAATTATATGAGTTCTTAATTATTGAAAACATTGAGACACACACTTGAGAACACTGACAAAACACGACACACATCAGCCAGAAATAAACAGGCCTCAGTTTAGCCATTTTCAGAACATTGCAAGTCTGGAGGAAGGAAGAGCAAGAGGTGGAAAAAGACAAGGAGAGAGGAGGAGGAGGTCATGGTTGAAGATATTTCTGATGACATTAGAGCAACTTGGATCATGTATGAAATCATGACCTCACACTGAGGGAAGCAAAGAGTCGAGCCACTCCTCCATCCTCAGGACCTTCAGATGGAAACATGTCACCTGCAGACTGCATCTACAGTATTTACAGTACTGTCGTATCACATGTACTGTTGGCTACTGCTCCTTTTGGAAAATGGTAGCTTTGTGAAAGATACAATACAGTAAAGTTAATAGTTCTGTACCATTGAGATCCAGTGAGATTACAACTACAGTAAAAAACAACTAAACCTATTGTAACATTTGTGGTATATTTACACAGAATTACTAGAAGACCTTCTGGAGGTAGTCGGCAACGTCTGTTCACCCAACAGCAGGAACTTGCTATTGTGGAAAGAGTTGTAGTAGGGACCATGATCCGTAAACCCCAGATACGTAATAAGATTCAGATTCAGATTCAGATTCATTTTATTAGCCATGTGCAGTATAAAAACTACATTGGAATACATTTGCAAAAAATGTACTCTGTGTGCACCGACAGACTAAAGAGCACGATACAATGAAATATAACGTACACATACACTGAAAATAAAAGAATTTAAAAAAAACAGCTGACACTGTGGCACCGATCAACAAAAACGATACAAGGGGTAAAAGCAGGAATTAAAGTGCTGTGTTTAGGCACCTAACAGCCTGTGGAAAGACCGATATCTTCTGCCAGAGGGAAGAAGCTGGAACATGGCTTTCCCAGGGTGGCCAGAAGAGTCATTGATGATTTTAAGAGCTCTGTTTAAAAGTCTGGATTTATAAAGAACCTCCAGAACAGGAAGCTCACAGCCCACGGTCCTCTTTGCAGAGCGGAACACCTTGTTTAAAGCTCTCTTTTCTTTATCTGTGATGTTTCCAAACCACACAGACACAGAACCAACAAGTAAACTCTCAATGGTGCAGTGATAAAAGTTAAGCAGAATCTTAGAGTTAGTGGTAAATTCTCTAAGTTTCCGCAAAAAGAAGAGCCGCTGACGAGCTTTCTTAACGACCCGGTTAGTATTTTTGTCCCATTTCAGGTCGTTAGACAGGGTTAAACCCAGGAACTTGCACTCCTCTACGATCTGCACCTGGGAGTTGTCAATAACTACAAGAGTGTGAGAACTATTACGACTGAAGTCAAAGACAAGTTCACATGTTTTTGCAGTGTTCAGCTGGAGGTTGTTAGTTTTACTCCACTGAAAAACATGTTCGATCTCTGCTCTATAAGAGGAATCATCATTGTCACTGATGAGACCGATGATGGTGGTGTCATCAGCATATTTGATGATCAAGTTAGAGTCAGAGGAGGACACACAATCGTGAGTGTACAAAGTAAAGAGCAGAGGACTCAAAATACATCCCTGAGGAGAACCCGTGCTCACAGAAACAACATCAGCAACATCAATTAACATTGTTAATTTGGAAAGCAGAGTGTTGTGTCAGGCTGCGTTCATATGCAAAACCCAAAGCCTGATTGAAGTGGGCCTAGGCTCGGATTGCAATAGATCCGGGCTATAGGTTCTAAGTGACCGCGGCAACTGGGCTTGGCCACAATAGCTGCAACCGTGCTTGGGCACAATTTGGAGAGGTGGGCCTGGGCACGATTGTAAAGCCCAGATCAGGGGGATGAATGTAGGGAGTGGGGGATGAGGTGTGGTGGGGACGTCGCCCGAGCTCGAGGCCGGGCTGGTCGTATCACAGCCAACCCCTCTCACCTGCACATGGACTATTCCATCCACTCCCCTCAGGCAGGAGGCTGCGGTCCATCAGGACTAGAACCTCCCGCCACAAGAACAGTTTCTTCCCCTCTGCTGTTGGACTCTTGAACACTTGTTAACCTGTCCCCCCGCCCTTTATAAAGTCACTTTACTGCCCATCATACGTGCACTTTACTTCACTGTACTGCTGTCACCTTACATTGTGTGCACCATGTGCACTTGTATATTGTAAATAGTAACTGTATTTTAAATTTAAATTTATTCTTTAGAAGTGTTTTTTTATTCTTATTTTTATTATCTCTTTTTGACTGTTGCACTGAGCCAAAGCAATTTCCTAGTCTGTGACCTCCTGTTACTTACGTGGCAATAAAAATGATTCTGATTCTGATTCTGATATTGTGCGCAATACTGTTTTGCATTCCCCCTGCTTGTGTTACACATTTCATGTGACCAAAGGGATACTTTTCCTATAGGGGATAACTCCCTTCTGATTTGATCCTCGCTGTCACAGTGTGGTGCTTTTCCAATTACACTTCAAACTTTTATTCAAGAGTCACACTTTATTTTGTGGTCAAAACACACCAACATACAATCCGGCCTGGCTTGCAGAGTTTTCATTCATTCGTTCTCATTCATTTCATTTCTCAGGCTCACGGCGTTTACTCCAAGGCGTGCTCCCGTGTCCACTGCGTGGTAGCACACACACACACTCACATGTCCCACTGAGCCGCTCCACATTGGAGAAAGACACATCTCACACTTGATCCATGCTCGACCTGTTGGCCACAGTACCCGAGTGTAAACAGGGGAAGAAACGGAAACTTAACTTGGACAACATGTTTCTGAAGTTTGTATTAGGTTCGCTCGACCGAGAATTGTACTACTCCGCATTTGAGCTGACATGGTTGAAAAAACCACTGGGCGACGATCCGGGACACTTGGCCTTGTTCATTTGTGACCGTGCCCTCAGGTTATCTTGTGTGTAGAGTTTTGGAACAATGAGCGAAATTTTGCAAAATGTGTTCAAGCAATAGAACTGTAAGCCAAGAGCTGTATTGAGCAGAGTGTATCATACAACCAGAATGTGGCAATGGTCGATGGCGGTCCTTGTTGGGTCGTGATGGCGATAGATCAGCCATAGCCTGGACCATAAGCTGCATCATGTTCCTGAATCATGTGGCTGAATCAGGTACTCCAACGATCCACCATCTGGGTGCCAGTCCAGCAATTTCTCCATTGTTGAAGCTGGAGGCAATTGAATTGTGAGAGTTCTCTCAAACCTGGAGCTCAGGTTTGAGCCAATCTTGGAGGCCCAGGGCCCCCTTTGTTGCCTGGTAAGACACAGAGGTCCTGCTACTTCATGGCACAAAGGAAGACTTTTGATGTGTTCCTGCTTATCTCCTCACCTCAATGAGTCAGTGTGGGAAGGGTGATGAAAGGGAATTTATCTTAAGACATTCCCACACACAACATAACTTGAACCACACAGACTTTTGCACACACAGTGGATACAGAAGTTACATTATTTATATTGGTGTTCAAAAGTTTGCTCATATAAGGAAGGTCCGATTAAGGAAGTCATTAAATGTCTCAATATACAACAAATGTCTTCAGTTAATGAAAAAGGTAATTTTTCCATTCTCTTAAAGAGGGCTAACTTCAAAACAAATGTTCTGAGAAAACTTTGTGAAGGAACAAGAGATGAATGTAGCAGAATGTGGCAGCTGTAAGAATGAAACAATGGGTAAAAGTTATTATCTGTTTCCTCTGAGGTTTAGTGATCAAGTCACTGATCTACTGTGTGTTTGTGTGTGTGTCTCTGTGTTGGTGTGTGTGTGTGTGTGTGTATGTGTGTGTGTGTGTTTGTAAAGTGTGGGTGTATGTGTGTGTGGTGTGTGTGTGTGTGTGTGTGTGTGTGTGTGTGTGTGTGTGTGTGTGTGTGTGTGTGTGTGTGTGTGTGTGTGTGTGTGTGTGTGTGTGTGTGTCTTTGTGTGTATGTGTGCCTGTAGTGTGTGGGTGTGTTGTGCATGTATACCTGGTGTGTGTTTGTGTGCGTGTGTGTGTGTGTGTGTGTCTGTATGTGTGCGTGCGTCTCTGTGTGTGTGTGTGTGTGTGTGTGTATCAGGTGAGGTCACTGCAGGGAGTCAGGCCGAGGAAATAACACTGGCTAGACCTGACGTGAGCCTCTGGTCGTGTCTCATAACTCACACTGAAGTATTATTGTAAGCTCTAAGTCATACTTAATTCTAAGAATGTAATGTAGAGATTTGAATCAGGTTCTGCTCCAGGAGCCTCCCGCTGACCTTCCTTTTACAGGACATTTCAAACATTGTTCATCTGTAACAAAGACTTCTCTTGGCTTTAATGTTGTTATACTACATCTACATGCAGCAATGTCGTCTTTCCTCAATACAGAGAATACTGCAATATATGTACAACATATGCCACAAGCATAATGAATTACTGTCAAATTAATTTTAAAAAGGACCCTAATGTTGTGTACAAAGATAGGACTTTATAATATTTATTCAATCAAAGGTAAAGGTGCACTTTATTGATCCCCGTACGGCAACTCAATACTCTGCAGTGTTTGCCGTAGTACAGCGCCCGGTAACCCATTTCCAGATGTTGATGCTCAGCTTGGTAAGGACCACTGGAGCTGGAGGACTTAACCTAGTGAGCATGTTTTTAGTGGCAGGGAAAACCGGAGTACCCGAAGAAAACCTACGCAGGCACAGGGAGAATAATCAAACTCCACTCAGAAAGACCCCGTTTCGACCAGGATTCGAACCCAGGACCTTCTTGCTGAGAGTGCAATCCACTCAGCCACCATGCTGCCCTTTTCAACTTTTTTAAACATCACATTATTGTGACCTGATTCTCATATTATTTCAAATATTGTCCATGTTTTAGGAGTTCCATCAGTCTGCAGTCTCTGATTAGAGTGACCCTGGCCTGACGTTCAACCTCACTGTAGAGTATAATATTTAATAAATAGTTTTACTACTAGGAACTGTTTTACTATAGACTATTAGTTTACTATAGACTGACGCTAATAAACTAACAATGTGTAATATTTTACAATTCAGAGACAATAATATTGTTGTTACTAAGCATTAACTTGCCCAACACTGATTACAAAGTCCCATTGTTACTCATGTAAAGTGTATTCTGTGGTGGATGCCATAGGACCTGTGTGTTCAGGGCCGTGTTTCTAGCCGGACTGCATTGTGCTGCGCACCCCTCCCGTTGACATTGCTGCAGCAAGAGGAAAAAGAGGAGGGAGCGAAAGGACTCTCGTTGCGAAACCTCCAGCATTTCTCTGGGAAGCAGCGGGACTGTGGCCCCTCTGTCCTGGGTCTGTGTTCGGATCTCTGGAGTCATGTATCGGCGGCCGCTTCAGTCCGCCGTGAAAAGCATAGTCAAAGTGACTGCCTCCAGAGCTTACGGAAAGGTAATGGAGCTCACACTAGCTTAGCTGCAAATGGGATGTTAAAGTAGGTTAAGACACCCTCAACTTCAACGTTTGCCTTAAAAACATGTACTGTTGTCCCAAAGAAGAATGTTACATATGCCCATAATGACCAGTATATGAAGTGGTCACGCTTCTTCCCTCTCCAGGTTAATGTGGAGATGAGATACATAGTTTAATTTGACAGGTCCATTATGAGATCCTTTGTGTATGTGCTACATGCTCCTTGACCGTGAACTCAAGCGTCCTCTTGTCTTGTCTTTTATTTAGCTCATTACATGCGTTTCATCCCAAGTCATGTATGATATTTGATCAGGTACATGTTCCTCATTGAATCTAGAGCTAATCAACTCAACTGTTGTCTAGGGCCGTGGGTTTCTGGGACATTTAGTTCCACATTATGACACTACTTCTAGAAAAGTGATTCAATAATAACCCTGGGATTGGTGTGTGACAAACGTAATATCTTTGCAAAACATAAGCCAGAGTTTGGACTGGGCAGGACTCAGGCCACACCATTGAACTAGACTTTACTGTTTTACTGGGAAAGTCTGTCTGATTTTGCCCCTGAGCCGCAAGTTGAAGTCTTGTGATTATCGAGCTGGCCATACCTGCAGGTGAAAGCCAGATCCTGGCAGACCTCTGAAGCTTAGCATGTAAGGGCCTGGTTTGTACTGTGATGGGAGACCTCTGAGGACATCAGGTGCCACAGTGGGGCAGCTGCGGCTGTAAAGTGCCAAACTGTAGTTGTGTCTGTTAGGCAAGACTCTTCACCCACATTAGTGTGTGTGTGAGTTAGAGATGCACCGATCCAGCTTTTTTACTACCGATACCAGAGCTATGGGTATCTGCCGATACCGATATTGACCGATACCGGAAATGATCATGCTAAAATGTATTTAATAATTGAAATCTTTGTTCAAGTAACTGCAAAAGCAGTGGATGAACTAAAGCGCTAAACTTTCCAGATAAAAATGGATTCAACATAAATGTGCAATACTGCAACTATAAAGAGCTGCTCAATGTTCACATTAAACATTCCAACACTGTATTATACCTTATACATTTATTGAATATAAATGTACTTATATTAACTGTGTTTGAATAAAAAAACACTTACAACAAACAAAACACGCTGCATGAAAATGTAAGTAAATAATAGTACCGTAGCTTTAACTGGATTTCAGATATGTATTTGGCGACGGCATGTACCTGGGTTCCAAATGGTCTATGGGGCTGCGAGCCCAAACTGATGAACTCCAACACTTTCGGGTTGTTGCTGAAAAGCTTTTTGTGACGCTGCGTCAGTATCATCTGTGTCTCGTTGTTTTCACGTTATCTCCTTTCGATGCAAAAACTCCCCATGCTGTTTCTCGTGGTGCTTAGTCGTGTTGTATTTCGCTAGTTTACCGCCGCGTGAAGAACGCTGATTCTTTCCTGCGTTCCATGCTGTGTTGTTGTTGTTGTAGAGCGCCACGAGGAAGTGACGTGTACGTCAGATCTGATAAATTACTTTTAATTAATTCATTTTATACGTATATGTACGCACAATGTATTTTAAGACATTGTGCGGTACCTGGTATGTATTAAAAAAAATATATAATTAAAACAAAAAAAAAGAAAATGGATTGGCAGCACGGCGCCTCTCTCTACGCAGATATCCGATCCAGTATTTTTTCTGGTATCGGCGCCGATATTGATACCAGTATCGGATCGGTGCATCCCTAGTGTGAGTGTATGGAGTGAATAAATAATGACATGTGCAGAGACTTTGGGAATCCAAATGAGCCCTATATAAAACCGGGGCATTAATGTTATTTTTGTGCTTTCAGGTATTGGAAGAAGGTTCCTCTGCCGGAGTTTCAGTTGCGTACCAGTTCAGAGTTCCTCTTCCCTCTTCAGCACCATGTCGGACACTACACAGCACCTCTCAGGTACTTTTACACATATTAAAAGCAGCAGTTAACAATGGGTTAGCTGCATATAAGAAATTAGACTCATCTGAGTGGACAGAACGGACACAAGTCGTGGTTGGTCAATCCATCATTAGTTTGCCTGACAGCTCATTAAAACATGTTGATCTTTAGAATAGGTCACATTTAATTTGGAGCAGCTGGACAGTAAAGGTCACAGAGTGCAGGTGTGCGATGTCCTGTGATCATGTGATTTTAGTGAACATCACACATGCAGTTTTCTTTTCATTAAAGCTGTTGTTTTCTCCCGGTGTTTAAACTCTAGCTCCTTCATGTAAAACAAACTCACCAACACACAGAGGAAGAAGTGGGTGCCTTCACAAAGCTCATTGAGGCAATGGGTTTCACGGGGCCTCTCAAGTACAACAAGTGGGTGAGTAAACACACATTTGGTCTGGAATTCATGTGTCGCTCTCAGTTTGGCCGTTTGGCAGATTGATCAACAATTCACTTAAAAAATGAATCGACAATGTCAAAAGCTGTTTTTACAACTCTCCATTCACATGGCTTAGCCCCGCCCATGTTGACTGGTTTCGACTGCACATTATCGCTCACAGGGACATCTTTTCTGTCTTGGTCATTGAATTCAAGTGCTAAAAAAGTGGTGTGCCTTTTATAAAGTAATCCATGTATTATTGCGGAAACAAGATAGCAGAAATTTACTGAGTTTGGTACATTTGTAGAGCTGAGGACAGTTCTGTGTCTGCAGGAGGAGTAAATCAAGTTTGTCAGCTGCTAACGCTCTCTCTGTTGCATCACAGCGGGTCCCTACACATATGGACAAAGGGCAGCAATAGCTATGCCGTCTAGTGCCCTAACAAGACTGGGCAATAACTCTGCTTACAGGGTTAAGGCCAAGCCATTCCACACACTAGCATTACTTGAGTGTTAGTTTTACATGTTCCAGGGCTGATTTACTCGGATTCAGCTTTATTTGCAGTATAACCACATTGGAATACATGTGCAAAGGTCTTCCGTGTGCACCAGAGAAGAAGCCTGGCTCTTGCCAGACCCTTGTAGTTCCGCCATGCTCCACCAGAGGCGTTTCGCTTCTGGGATCAAGCGCATACCAAACTCCTTCAGCAGATCAGAAAATAATCACCCAATCAGGATCGCCGGTGTTTGCACCGCCTTCTCAAGCGTGTCTCACGCTGCAGCGAAAGCAATCCAAGATTGCGGACATGAAGTCCGCAAATTTAAAACAAAAGTTTAAATACGAACAAATTAAGACATGGATGTCACTTTTGATGCAATATGAGGCGAGATGTTGGTGGTTCTATGTTGCTGTTTTTGGTCAAAAATTTCACAATCGATGCATCCCTAGAAACAATCATCAGTGTGAAACCCATCAACAAAAATAGCTTCAATACAAGATCTTTAAAGTGCTTTGTTCAGACTGATAACAGCTTCTGTCAGCTGTTATCATCAAAACTTCCGCTGTAATAATCCACTCTCAGCCCAAAAAGTCAACAATGACTCACAGGGCTCTTACAGTAAGTATGTGAAAGTAAAAAAACAGAATGGATTGTTGTGTGTTGTTCTTTTTGATTTGTTCACATTTTATTTTGTGCACAATCAACGTGCACTGTTTATTCAAGTGTAAATTTACTTTAATTTTGTGAGTTCTCGTTGCGCTTTGATAGGAAACACGGGGGAGACACAGGAGAGACCCGCACTTGCAACAAGCTGGGGATGGTCCTGTCCACGCATCTATGGTCCGCGCTCTTTACATTATGATGACCACGTTACGGCTCTGCTTTTGCTGAGCTGTTGTCAAAGGGGCTCACAGGAACCCCAGTCATTACAAAGCAGTCACTCCGAGGTCAGAACGGAGGATGTGGAATACCGTTTGCGTATGTACAGCAAACAACAACGGTCTGCAAGTGTCCACGGTCACATATTTCACAGGAATTACATTTTCAGCGGGTATTTTCCCTGGTATTTTGTAATGTATTTATTTGGTCAAAAAAAGATAAGACGTGTCCGCTCCCTGCTCTAGAGGTAGAAATGCGGGAATAGGTTCCCAGCCTGAATGAATTCAAGTAATACTACTGTGAGCTAAACATCACTTGCCCGATCGGGCAACTTGCATACTTGCCGGCGTACTTGTCCGTCCCAAATCTTTAGTTGCCCCGGGCAAGCGGACAACCGTTAGTGTCGAGCCCTGAAGATTATTGCACAAATGCATAACATATGGGGTCAGGTCTGCTGTTTTCATTAGTTCTCAGTGTTCGTTTTACAGTCTGACTGCTGTGGGTAGGAAAAACCTCTTTCTCAGAGCAAGGGTGGATCAGTCTTTCACTGAAGCTGCTCTCCAGAGCAGCCAGTGTCCTGCAGGGGGCGACAGTCATGGTCCATATAGATGTTCGTTAAGGATTTGGGTCAGGCCTGACTTCTGCTCTAGTATCTGCGTTTAAGATGAACCTTTATTTGGGCGGCACGGTGGCTGAGTGGATACAGTGCCTTGCGAAAGTATTCGCCCCCCTTGAACCTTTCAACATTTTGCCACATTTCAAGCTTCAAACATAAAGATATAAAAAAAATATTTTTTGTCATGAATCAACAAGTGGGACACAATCGTGAAGTGGAATGAAATTTGTTGGATAATTTAAACTTTTTTTAAACTTTTTTTAAACTCCAAACTTTCATCTCAAACAAGGAGAAGACTGATCAGAGATGCAGCCAAGAGGCCCATGATCACTCTGGAGGAACTGCAGATAACTACAGCTGAGGTGAGGATGGTGTGTTCAGGGTGATGAGCTGTGTTGCTTTTACGCCAAACATATCGTTTTGCATTGTGGCCAAAAAGTTTAATTTTGGTTTCATCTGACCAGAGCACCTTCTTCCACATGTTTGGTGTGTCTCCCAGGTGGCTTGTGGCAAACTTTAAGATACTTTTATTGGATATCTTTGAGAAATGGCCACTCTTCAATAAAGGGCAGATTTGTGCAGTGCACGACTGATTGTTGCCCTATGGACAGACTCTCCCACCTCAGCTGTAGTTATCTGCAGTTCATCCAGAGCGATCATGGGCCTCTTGGCTGCATCTCTGATCAGTCTTCTCCTTGTTTGAGATGAAAGTTTGGAGAGACGGCCGGGTCTTGGTAGATTTGCAGTGGTCTGATACTCCTTCCATTTCAATATAATTGCTTCCACAGTGCTCCTTGAGATGTTTAAAGCTTGGGAAATCTTTTTGTATCCAAATCCGGCTTTAAACTTCTCCACAACAGTATCTCGGACCTGCCTGGTGTGTTCCTTTGTCTTCATGGTTCTCTCTGCGCTTTAAACAGAACCCTGAGACTATCAAAGAGCAGGTGCATTTATACGGAGACTTGATTACACACAGGTGCATTCTATTTATCATCATCAGTCATTTAGGACAACATTGGATCATTCAAAGATCCTCACTGAACTTCGGGACTGAGTTTGCTGCACTGAAAGTAAAGGGGCCGAATAATATTGCACGCCCCACTTTTCAGTTTTTTATTTTTTCTAAAAGTTTAAATTATCCAATAAATTTCGTTCCACTTCACGATTGTGTCCCACTTGTTGTTGATTCATGACAAAAAAATAAAATTTTATATCTTTATGTTTGAAGCCTGAAATGTGGCAAAATGTTGAAAGGTTCAAGGGGGCCGAATACTTTCGCAAGGCACTGTAGCACTCTTGCCTCTCAGCAAGAAGGTCCTGGGTTCGAATCCCGGGTGGACCAGGGCCTTTCTGAGTGGAGTTTGCATGTTCTCCCCGTGTCTGCGTATGTTTCCTCCGGGTGCTCTGGTTTCCCCTACCACTAAAAATATGTACAATAGGTCTGGCATGTGCCTCCTGCACTGGCACCCCCACTCCCAAAAATAACACTTGTAAACCGCTTTGAGACTCCGATGTGCAGTGAAAAGGCGGTATGTAAATAAAGATTACTTACTACTACTACTTACTACTTACTACTATTAGTCTCACAGTGGTTTTTCTTGTTTTGACTATTGCTGACCTGAACCTGCTCCTCTATTGCGGTCACAGTTATTGGTCACAGTGTTTGGCTGCATTTTGCATCTGTGAACAGGAATGCAGCTGGTTCTGTCATTCAGGAGTCACGTAGAAGGCGAGATTGTGCCTCTACGTCACTGACCTCATGTTTTGTTTCTCATCACAGCCTTTGAGACTATTCTCTTGTATATAATGCCTGTGTCCCAGACAAATGACGACCCAAGATCAACCTAGAAAACCAATGAAGTGCTCTTTGAATGAACACAAACAATTGTAGCCTTTTCTGATTCTGAACAAAGAACTTTTCATTTGTCATTCCAACTCTTCCTGCATTTCTTTGACAGAAAATCAAGATCGCTGCCCTGCGCATGTACACCTGCTGTGTAGAGAGAATCAATTATGATGATTTCTTTGAAAGTAAGTGCCTTTTAAATAAAGTACATGTGTTTTTAGCTGGTGCAGTATGTTACTTTTTATTTTTACTATTTCAAAAAAAGTACTCTTGACGACTATTGTACGGGGATGGCATCTGATGGTAATACGGGTTTTATCAGTCCTTCATCAGTAATGATCTACAATATGTTCTATGGTGACATTTTGTTACTTTTGAGTATTTGACTTTAGCAAGACTTTTTGATCAAACTGTTACCCGTGGAAACTTAACATCACCTTTTGTCAGTGAGGCTTGTCTCTGCTCTCTCCCTCTCTGGTATCTCTCTCTCTGGTCTCTCGCTGGTCTCTCTCTAACTGCGGTCTGGAAACAGAGCTTTAGAATGTTATTGCTGCTCCAGGTTTGTTGTTGCTGATGACACTGCTCTGTTTCAGAATGTGCCCTGCCGGACACACTCAACTCCTGGTTCCTGGTCGCACAGTTACATGTCTGGTACGTCACTCTCCCTCATTCACTATGAACCATCGACCATAGATACCCAGCCCTAGTATACTCCACAGGGACTTATCCTGGCATCAAGTGCAGTTAGAGTCTCAGACTTGTCAAGGTCAAGGTCAAGGTCAAGTTTATTTATAAAGCACATTTAAAACAACAATGCTGCCCAAAGTGCTGTACACAAAAATACATGTATATAAAATACACAATTTGAATATAATAAAATTAAAATACAGATGCGGAAAAACAAAAATCAACACCAGCAAAGAAAAAAAGTCCTGCTCAGTTTTAATTAAAGGACTTCGCAAACAAATGGGTCTTCAACATAGACTTAAAAATGCCTAAAGACTGGGCTGCCCTAATATTTAAGGGGAGACCATTCCAAAGCGTCGGAGCCGCGACAGCAAAAGCCCGGTCTCCTCTGGTCGACATTCGTGACCTCGGTACGTCTAACAGAAACTCGTTAGCTGACCTCAATGTTCTGCTCGGAGTATGAACAGACAGAAGCTCAGAAAGGTACGCAGGAGCCGTCCCATTCAAACACTTAAACACCAACAACAGCATTTTAAACTGAATTCTGTATTTTACAGGGAGCCAATATAAAGAGGCCAACACAGGGGTTATATGTTCAAACCTTTTGGTTCCCGTGAGCAGACGCGCTGCAGCGTTCTGTACCAACTGCAGGCGATGGATCGAGCTTTGGTCTAGCCCACAATACAACGAGTTACAGTAATCCAAGCGGCATGTTATAAAGGCATGAATCACACTCTCCAGATCTCTATGTGGTAAATACGGCTTAATTTTACTCAGAAGACGCAGTTGGTAAAAACTTGACTTTACAACTGAACCTATTTGCTTGTCCAACTTAAAAGATCCATCTAGGACCACACCAAGGCTCCTGGCTGACTGGTGACAGTAGCCTTTTAGTGGGCCAAGAACAGATGGATCAGACAAATTTCCAAAAACGACAATTTCCGTTTTAGATTCATTAAGTTTTAGAAAATTCTGGGCCAACCAGTCCTTTACATCCTGAATACAATGTAACAGAGCTTGGATGCCGTCTGAACCTGGTTTCAATGGCAGATAGACTTGCAGGTCGTCTGCAAAACAATGAAAGGGAATCTTATGTTTTTTGAAAATAGATCCAAGGGGCAACCGGTACAGTGAGAACAATAAAGGACCTAAAACTGAGCCCTGTGGCACTCCGCAGCTCAGTGGGGCCGCATCTGAGCTGTAAGGTCCCAGGTGGACAGAGAAGGAGCGATTTTCAAGATATGATCTGAACCATTTTAGGACCGTTCCTCCAATACCAACATGGTTTTCAAGGCGGGAAAGCAGTATTTGATGGTCCACCGTGTCAAACGCTGCAGTTAAATCTAAAAGCACTAAAATAGTGGGGTGACCCGAATCAACATTTAAAAGAAGGTCATTAAAAACTCTTAAGAGTGCAGTTTCAGTGCTATGACACGGTTTAAAACCCGACTGAAATTTTTCAAAGAGGCTATTTGCTTCCAAGTGAGACTGAATTTGGGCGTGAACCAATTTCTCCAGAACTTTTGATAAAAAAGGCAACTTAGAAATTGGCCTGAAGTTAGACAGAACTTCAGGATCTAAGCTGTGTTTTTTAAGTAGAGGCTGGACAGCAGCATGCTTGAAAGCACTTGGGACGCTGCCCGAGATCAATGATGAATTGATAATTCTCATTATAAAGGGCCCAATCACACTGAAGGAGTCTTTAAGAAGTTTAGACGGGACACAGTCAAGTGGACAATCAGAGGGTTTTAACTGGCGCACCACAGTAGACAGCTCATCAAGTGACACAGAATCAAAATGTTCAAGGACCACAGAACAAACAGAATTCACAGAAGGGTCCACAGCAGCACAATGTAATGTAGAATCCCGAATAGCAGATATTTTATCCACAAAGAATCTTTGAAAATTGACACACAAAGTTTCTGATGGTACAATGCCACTGGATTCAGTGGGATTCACAAGGCGATTTAAAACAGTAAAAATAACTTGTGGTTTGTGACCATTTGTAGATATCAGGTTTGACATGTACTCAGTTTTAGCGCATTTTACTGCTCTTTGATAATTAGACAATCTCTTAAGATGCCCAGGGAAACATGAAGTCTGTCCTTTTTCCAACGCCTTTCTGCACGTCGGCACTCACGCCTGAGCGCGCGCGTGGTGTCATTTAGCCAGGGCTGGGACTTACTCTTAGGCTTACATGTATTATAAGGAGCAACTAAATCCAGAATTACAGTACACGTAGACGTAAACAAACAAGTTAGCGCATCAGTATCAGAGTCACACGACAGTGAAGGCGCAGCGTAATCTTATTATTCTATTATTATAGAATCGATTATCTTCAATAATAGATCCTGTTTGATAAGTCTTTAATTTTCTTCTTTTATTCTGCTGTAATGTACAACAAAGACATTTCCTCTAACGGAAGAATAATTGTTTTTCTGATGTTAAATGTGCTGTGCGCTCCAGGATGTGCTTGGTGCGGATGCGACAGGAGGGCAGAGAAGGAAAATACATGTGTCGTTACGTTGTTCACTCCATGTGGGAGGATGTGGAGCAGAGGAGCAAGATCATGGGGGTAAGTCAATGCTCTGAAGTCACATTTGACACAAGCTAAAGTTATGACAAAGTTATTTATTAGCCTCCAGACAATGAAAAAGTTACTCTTCTGGAGGCTAGTTTTACTTCAAACACGAGATATACAAACAATTATTCACAGAAAAAAAATGAAAGAGTAAACAAGAAGATCTGTGCATGGTTTGAAAAGGGATTGGTCAAGGCAAAGTGCTTAATTTAATCCAAACCCCTCCCAGCCCCAACATGTAATAAAATACAAAAAACTATACCAAATCAATCTGACGTCAGCGATTGTCATTTGTGATTGGTCAGAGGCGCTGTCGATCACTCTTGAACATAAACAACAAGTCACCTCAAGTTTCCTGCTGCAAACAATCATGACATCTAGATGCAGTCAACACCTCCCTCAGTTTGAGGAGAGGACACACTCCAGCTTGAGCTCGATGGTGCCACCGAAACCAGAAAGTTGATCTAGAAAGTATTTCCCCCAACGTGAATGATTAATGCAGGGGCGATGGAAACGCTCTCAAACCGAGTCAAGTTGAGCCGGTGGAAATGGGGCTTCTTTGAACATATTGAAGCCTCATAGTTGCGTTGGGTTTGAGTTTTTCCTGTTTCATGCTTCACAGAATGAAATGTGTTTAGGTTTTGCCTCATTGTCTTTGTGCCAGTGGTTCTCCAGCCAAACGTGGAGCCAAGTCCCCTGAGAGAGGTCCTGGCTGGAGCCCTGTGCCCACAAAGCTGCTCTATTCTCTCTCACTGGTGCAGCATATGGCTCATGTTTGTGCTCTGAAAATATTTTGTCACATACGGAAACTTAGACTCTGGGTTTCTAAGAACAACATGCAGTGGATTCTGGACAGTTAATTGTTGGAGACACACTGATGTAATGACCCAGCACACTTGTTTTACTTCTGCAAAGACCAGGGACTATAAATCCATACAAAAACAAATTAACACGTCAACCTTTACTTAAGCCTCTCACCAAATCCTGTGTTCTTGACGTCACACAGTGCATCCATCGCCAGCGCGGTAAATACACAGCACAGTGGTCTTTACAGAACCAGAGAGTGGAGGGGAACTTTAGGAAATGGTGTTTTAACTGGATATTTCGTTTAGTTTGGCCGATCTCCATGTCTTCAAACCTGATTAAGCAAAAAACCCCAAGGACTTACGCTCTAAATCAAGTCAGCTGTTTATTCTGTTTGTTTTGCTCATATATGCTCTTCATGAAAGTGTGTAACGAATATAGTGGTGCTTTGTTACTCATTTACATAGCATGGTGTTGATTTGCATTGCAAATATTAACTGATGGTAACCTCGCTAACATTTATTTTGTCCTTTATTGTGGTTTAGTGCAGTAGGGCGTTTCCTCTAGTTAAAGAAAACAAAAACATATATGTTTACAGTCATAAGACGGTATTCCCCTAGAAAAATCAGTTCCATATGTAAATGCAACCACTGCTCTCTAAAGTCAAAAAGATTGCTATCTGGTAAAAAGTGACACTTTTTACCAGATAGCAATGGTAAATCTTTTTTTTGATTTTTACCAATACTCTTTTTTTTCAACAAGGCCCTGATTTAAGCAGAATTTGCAGATTTGGTTTGTGTGACAAAGGAAGGTCAGAGGTGTGAAATGACTGTGTGCATGTATGTGCGTGCGTGCGTGTGTGCGTGCGGGTAGTTGAGGGACTCTTTACTTCAGGTGTTTGCACAGCTGCCCATGTGTCAGCAGAAGGTAAACCATGAACTGGCTCTAAGCCGGTGGTTGGGGACCCCTGCCCTGAGACATCAGTAATATAATGATATAATACGATAACTGTAATGTCTCCCATTGACCCTGATAACTGTCATATCCGACATATCTGTGTTTTAGATTTGTATGCCCAATGTCTCCGATTCTTTCATTCAGAGCTTTTTTTACTTGGGGGTTTTCACAGTTAAATAACTCGAGCTTTGGTTGAAAGGTTTTCTCCTGCAGTGGTTTGACAATCTTCATGTTTGTGAATCTTGATTTGAGTGTGTAAAAATGTTTACACAGAGGTGATGGACCATGTGTTGTTTGCTGCAGATTGATGCCAGCCAAAGAAAAGAAGCAACAAAAGCCATGACAGAGACTTTCTATGCTGCAATATTTGGATACGATGAGGTAAGAGCAAACCAGATGTTGTTTGTTGGGCTGGGAGATATGGCTGAAAACTCTCACAATATAAGTGATTCATATCAGTCGATATTGACAATTATTGATTTTTGTTTTTGTTTTTTACTAAATATTTGTCTTGTCGGCTAATTTACGTTAGCAGCCCTTGTTAACAGTCACATGGGAATGAACTCAGGCTGGAGAAATATGTTCACAAGCACAATGTCCCCCATTGTCAATCCTGGTTTAGTCGTGGCTTTTACTGCATGCATCGAGTCTCTGTACTCGCTACCTCTGCCGCGCCGCACATGCTATTCCTCGCACGGACATGCATCACCATTGAAACACGGCAACTATGGATACCCAGACGCAACGTATGGTCCAGTTGTTGTTTTGTTTTTTGCATTTCCCAGAATGCCTTGCGGTTCATTCTCTGTCGTGATAGGTCGAGAAGCTTCTGCCTACGTCCCCCAGAATGCCGCGCGCTTCTGACTTGGCTTAACTTTTTGTTTTTTCTAACGAAGTGAAGTTAAACTATCAAACATTCTATCGACCCCATTTTCTAATGATATCGAACACGTGTCTATTGCGATATATTGACGAGGTCTCCGCCTTCGATTGCTGCCCAGTCCCGTTCAGCACCATGCCACCACGGATCGCTCTGTGGGTGGTGGGTCCACAGGAGGGCTGGCCCATGTCGTCCTTTCTGGCTGAGCCCGGCCAGGCCCATGGGCTAAGGCCCGGCCACCCGACGCTCTCATTCAAGCCCCCCCCCAGGCCTGGCTTCAGGGTGGGGCCCTGGCTGCGCCATGCCGGGCAATGTCACAGGTGGTGGTTTTTTGGACTGCACTTTGTCTGACTTGTCACCCAAGACCTGTTTGCCATGGAAGGCCCTGGGACTGGCTTTCTGCTGGGACTCCGAGGAGCACAGGGACTGGCCTCCTGCTAGTGTCCACAGTCAGGGCTAAACATGAGGGGGCAGTGTTTGAGATTTTTATGCAGCTAATATCTGAAAATGTGAAACAGGATTCTTCTCTGACAGTGTTCAAATCTAGGTTAAAACCGTTCTTTTGCTGTGCCTACAAATGAGGGATTCCAGCTTTACTTTTTTTAATATATTGTGTCTGTCTTGTTTTGTTCAGTAGTTGCCTTGTGTATAAATTGTGCTATACAAATAAACATATTTTTCTTCAGGGGATTCTCTCGGACGACAGTGTTCTGGCTGCAGCTCTGTGGAGGAACCTGTTCAACTGTCAGTGTGAGGATCCCCAACAGCTGGAGCTCATGGTGGAGTACGTCCGCAAACAGGTGTGTACCAAGTCTGTCTGGGGAAGTTAAGGATTCCCAACTAGGGGTACGCGCACCTGGAGAAACTCCTTCCCCAAAACATGTCCATGTCTGAAAAAGCACATTACTGTCTCTGAGCACACAGTACATGTTTTATGTTTTACTGTTGGAATTAGATGGGGGAGACAATGGCTCAGTTGTTTGGTCTTTGAACCTAGTGGTCATGGGTTCCATCCCACCACGACTCGTGTCACCTGGTCCCACTGATGTGTGCTGTTGTTATGTCCCTGAGCAAGACGCTTTATCCCACTCTGCCTGGAGCAGCCATCTTCCAGTGGACCCACCACCTAGAGGAGGATCAGTGAGGAACTGGTGCAGCTCGGATTGCTACTCTCCCCCGACCCAGAAATGGACAAATAAAGGGGATGAAAATGATATGACACTGTTGGATTGAGCTAACTTTTACACAGAATCTGTTTGAACTTTCACTTAAAAAACTTTTCACCTCCTTCTCTCCTCCTCCCTCTCTCTGTCCTATTTGTGTGTGAGTGTGTACATCTGTGCGCCCACCCTTTACAGAAGAGTCCCCTCGTAAGATATTCTCCCTAAGAAATGGGACACCTCTATGTTTGCAAATCGATTCAGCAAACGTGTTCCATGTCACATGCAACATCGACGTGTCTGTTTCATAAAGTCATATGTGTGGTGAAACCAAAGCATTGTATTTCACATGTAGATTAGCTATAAATAGGTACAAGACTGCTCCATATCACACACACACTCTTACGCCCCCTCTCTGTGTGTGTTTGTGTCTCTCTGATAGAAAACACTCGTTTTGGAAACAC